GGACATACTTCAGATAAGGCAGGTTAGATGTGATTTGATTCAATCAATTTTGCATAGGGTGACTCTTTTTTTTAAAAAAAACAAAATCTTCCCGGTAGCAGTGTTTGTCAAGCCCCAGCATGGCTAGCTGGGGAGTTCTGGGAGTTAAAGTCTACATGTCTTAAAGTTGCCTAGGTTGAGAATCACTGCTCCATCCCAATGGACTGCATGAATTTAAAGGTGCTAAAAGGAGACACCACATCAGAGCCCTGGCAAGCTGGCCTCAGATGCCACCTCTTGACAACATGATGCCTCTGACTATTCATTCCTTGAAACCATCTCCTCCGCCACCACCATCCTGATACCCTGTGACTACACTCACCTGCCTCCCTCCTCCTTGCCCTTACTGGTCCCACTTAGCCTGCCCTGATCAAGAAGGGTACCTTTGTTGTTGAAGTGTGCACCAAGATTCCCAGGGCCCTCCTGAAGTGAGCCAGAGGCCCAAACCACCAGGATCAAAAAGGCAGCAATGGATCTCCAGGCCTGCTCCATGCTTTGGTGCAGGGGAAGGCAGCCGTTCTGCCAGAAAAGTCTTTTCACCTGCTCTGCCAGTTGGTAACTGACTGCAGAAGCTGATGCCTGGGTCTTTGCTCCACAGCTGGAGGCTGCAGATAAGAGGGCGGGCTCTGAGTTGAGAAAGCAACAACAACAAATTGCTGCAACTGTGAGCAGACTTGAGCCCCTCTCCCCCTGGGGATTTCTCCTGTGCATGACAGAGTACTATCTTCTTACATTTAGGGTAAGGCTATGTCAAAATTATTGTACCCCAATAGCAACTGCAAGTCAAACTCCAGGCCCAGCATACTTCCTATCCACCCCAAAGCATGAAGCTTGCTTACTTTCCCCAATCATATTCTTCCTGGGACTGTCTGCCCACAGTCTGTGTACCTCCAATCCTGTGTCAAAGGCATTCCTTTTACTATTCAGTGTGCAATGCAGGTTGTTCCTAGTTCAAAGACAGAATGCCCCAAAGGCAAAAGAGAGAGGAAAAGGGTTGTTAAAAATCTAATGGACAAAACAGGTGTAGACAACACCTCACAGAAGGTAGAATAAACAATCTGCCATAAAGATTGTGTTAATGTCAGGGACAACTTCCCAACTCCAGGAATTCACAGGAATAGAACCTTTAATTTTTTATGTGGCATACATTCATTATTTGGGGCCCCATATTGCACTAAAACGCAATTGTGATGTATTTAGATTTGGCCCTGATATTGTAGGAAGTCGGCTACTGGAGATTGCACTCCCTAATTTATGCCTCCCAGAGGCTGTGGGAATAGAACATAGAGTAATAGGATTGGGAGGACCCTTGGAGGTCTTCTAAAATGAACTCCCTGCCTGTGGCAAGAGATTTTATACCATTCCAGACTTTCTTTGGGCTTGATGGGATGGATATATGAGATCATAGAAAGAATAACAGAATAGAATAATAGAGTTGGAAGGGACACTGGAAGTCCTCCAGTCCAACTTTCTGCACAAGCAAGAGACCCTATGCCATTTCAGACTAATTGTTTTCACTGTCAGGAAATTTCTCCTTATTTCTAGGTTCTTTCTCTCCTTGATTGGTTTCCATCCATTACTTCTTGTCTTGCCTTCAGGTGCTTTGGACAATAGGTTGATCCACTCTTCTTTGTGGCAGCCTCTGAGATATTGCAATACTGCTATCATGTCACCCCTAATCCTTCTTTTCATGAGACCAAACATACCCAATTCCCGCAACCATCTTTCATATTTTTTAGCCTCCAGCCCCTTAATCATCTTTGTTGCTCTTCTTTGCACTCTTTCTAGAGTCTCAACATCTGTTTATATTGTGGCAATCAAAAATGGATACAATATTCCAAGCGTGATGTATTATCTGCTTTCAAATCATCCTCTGTTCTCTGCCATGTACTTTTTAAAGGAAGTCTCTGGATTTGCAGAGAGAGAAAAAACATATGTCTAGCCAAAGGCTGAGGGATAAAGGCATGATACAGATTATGCCAACTGACTCTTCTTGATGCTGCAGGGGAAAAGGCCTTTCTCTGGAGTCTGGGGATTCAACTGGGCATCTTCATGGGATGATCTGTGATAGCATGGGTAGCACAGAGAGTAGAAAATAGGAAAACCTACAGATATGGTTCCTTTCAGTTCCAAATTAATTTGGAAATGATTTCTCTTTGTATCCTTCGCCTTTTGACCAGACCAGTGGGCAGTGGTGAGTGTGCAGCTTGGGTTAGGTAGGGAGGTGTGGAACTGAAGGCAAAAAGGAGGAACTACAAACAGAAAGTTGTTTAGGGATGATAAGAGGGCTTCTTCTGCAGAGGACTTGTTTATTTCAGGCACTTGCACTTTTTAAAAACAGATAGTAGAGCTGTAGTCCCTTATCTAACCCCCCCCCCCCAAATTGACTGTTATTCACTTTTACAAAAACTTATTTTCAAAGAAAAATGTCTCTTTATAAATACATTTATTGATTTGCTATATTGCTAGTGAAATAGCAATGTCATAATTTAACATTCCTGATATATTTGGCCAAATTTCATTTCTACATGAGCGTGTGGGTATGTGGGAGAGTGGGGTTTGCTGTCTGTTTATAGAGAGTAGCTTGCCCTGTCAGTCTTGGTGAGGATTACTTTGTTTTTCTGGGCAAGCTTCCATATCATGGGCTACAGCTACAACCATTTTTTGTTTTTGGGAAATGTCTCTGGTCTCTATCACTCAGATGATGCTTCAGACTCGTGCTTTGCTTTGCATCAAATTAAGTAACTAGGTACTTATTTTTTAATTACAATAATCTAATCAGAAAACCAGGAGTCTAACCTTTTTGTATGTTTCCCTTTGTCTTATCCTTTTTGACCCTATCCCTTTATTACCTTTATAAAACTCAATAAAATATTTATAATAAAGAAAACCAGGAGTGTAATAGTTAAAGGCATCACTTTAGAAACTGGGAGACTGTGAATTCTAGGCCTGCTTGAGGCACAAAGTCAGGTGGGTGATCTTGGGCCAGTCACTTTTTCTCAGCCCTGGGAAGGAAGCAAGGGCAAACCACTTCCAAAAAGCCTTGCCAAGAAACTTCAGGAACTTTCCAAGCAGACGCAAAAGTCAACAGTGATTCAAAGTCAAGAAAACAAAATCCCACACAAGGCCTGTTTGCAGTCTAGTGGCTTCAAAGTAGTTACTACTAAACTAGACACACTAGTGTCATAGTAGGGACTACAGGATAATCCCACCTCATGAACAGAATTCTTTTTGTATGTTTGAGTTAAAGCATAGGAACACCAACTGTGGCCTGGGATTGCATTTCCCCAGTCTATAATTGGAACATCCAAAGAGCTGAATTTTGTCACTTTTGTGCAGGCTAATCTTATACCGTGGGCCAAGCTAACAACTTAAGGGCAATTCAGGGCTTTCTCTGAAATTTCTAAGAGATAAACCACACTGTTCTGAGTGAAAATTGTTGCAGTACCTAATCAGCTTATTTTCCCTTTATCTGAAAACTAAATCAAAGCATCTTTTGCTTTAGGGAGAGGGAAACTTTCCCTAGACCACAGAACAATATGCATTTCAAGTCTCAAGCATCAACACAAGAAAAGAATCTACCAGCTATGCATGATATGTTAAAATTCCTACTTCGGCCAGGATGATAGATCATCCTTGCACTCAAGGCTATCCTTGGCAAGGTAACAGGTGAACCTTTGGAGGGGGGTCTCCAAATTGTGCTTCCCCACTGTGATGGAATGTAGAAGACTGGATTCCCAGGAGGGAGGGGGCACGTTCCAGAGGAATAAGAGGCAGCTCAGTCCAGCTATTTTGTGTGAGAGAAAGAGAGTGACGACCGCTCCTCCCTTTTAGTTCTATATGCTGGATGTAGATAGTAGAATGCTTCAGTTTGGCAAGATTCTGTCTTGTGCTGAACAATAAAAAAAATCTGTTTGGAAGAATCACCATATGTCTTTCTTGGTTTCTGGACCTGACACATTCTCAGTTTAAGACAGCAAGAATAAAGTCCTGGCTCTTGTTGTTTTTAGGCCTACAGGTAATCCATTTTTTCCCTGAATCAGGGAATGAGTTAAATGATTGAATTACAGCTTATGTGGGAGTGGGCAGTATCTTCAAAGCCTCGAGGGAGTTGGGCAGGATTGCCTTAGCACTTTTATGGACTACTGTTTGGTTCTTATATTAGCTAACTCATGCATCTTGTTCATAAAATTATTCCAACTCTGTTACTGACAATTGTAATAGAACTGAGCAAGCAGCACTAAATATTTAGGAAATTCTGGCTTTCAGAGAATCTTGATTAATTTAATTAAAAAAGATTTGTACTGCTGTATGAAACATGCATACATTCTCATAATAACTGGAATATCTGGAGAGAGCAGGAAGGAAGAAGGCTTAAAGAGTGCAGCACAGGTATATTGAAGCTTGTCATACCTGCCTACCACTGTGTTTGGGGTTTTGGTGGGTCTCTTTTCAGCAAAGCTAGGATAGATTGTGTGGACTCCACATGGTAGTTCTACAAGCAACAAAAATGGGAAATATTACAGAATCATGTGAAAAGAAATGTATGCTTTCACATAACAAAGATATCACTATCACAGAGCGTCCATCTACACAGGTCTGCCCTTGACTACACTATTAAATTTTGAAGGCCATGAATATGTGAATATCACCTTCCCTTAAAACCAAAGACTAGCTCAGTTTTTTGAAGCAACCAGGTGCTATCATTTGGGGACTTTTCAAAATGCTACTTGTAACCAAAGATGCTTTTTGGAATTGATGGCCTTTGGGCAGTATGGTTGTTGATCTCCCACAAAGATTCTGAATGGGCAAAGCAGGATCCTACAGATGACCAATTCAGAATAATTACAATCTTTCATGGATTCTTCAGTTTCTTAGCCACTTGCATGTTACAAACGTGTTGTAATCAGACAAGCTATCTTTGGCTTTGAAGATCTGTTCCTATGCTGTTCAACTCTTGATCACTCTGGATTTCTACAAGAGATGTTGGTGGGGATTCTGACCAAAATGATGTCCTCTTGGAAGCATAAGAAGGTGACCGTGGCACAGAAGAAGGTGCCTGCAATTTCTGCACAATATGAGGGGGAACTGGGCGCCTGGTTTCCAAGGGAAGTGGGTGTTGAGGAACAGACAGATAGGGAGGGGGAGAATCAGGGGGGGCTATTGCTGACTGATTTTCCAAGAACCAAGAGGAAGGAGCTAAAAATGGATGTGTTGAAAGACATGATCTAAAGTGTGGATCCTCAGCAGAGAGTGATGGAGAAAGGGAAACTGGGCTGTTCGGTGCACTATGTGAAAATATGAAACATGAACTGGCAGCAAGGGTGCCAAAATCTTTGAGAGAGGGGATGCGGCGAAGAGCAGCTTTGCTCCCAGGCTTTGTCTTCAAGTATGGTTCCCTGGTGATTCCCTTTTTCTGGAGCAGGAAGAAGTCATGGGGTCCAGCAGGATTCATGGCATAGAAAACATTTGCACTGTCAGGAACCAGCAACTCTTCAGGGGAGAAAAAGAACAAAACACAGAAAGAATGAGAGAGTGTGAGCAAGGCTTGGCAGCATCTCCTCTCCTTCCATCTTAACAGAATAACAGAGCTGGAAGGGACCTTGGAGATCTTCTAGTGCATGGAGGAGGCCCTAGACCATTTCAGACAAGTGGCTGTCCAGTCTCTTTTTAAAAGCCTCCAGTGATGGAGCACCCAAAACTTCTAAAGGCAAGCCATTCCCCTGGTTTATTGTTCTCACTATTAGGAAATTTCTCCTTAGTTCTAGGTTGCTTCTTCTCTTGATTAATTTCCATCCATTGCTTCTAGTCTTGCCTTCTGCTGCTTTGGAAAATAAGTTGACCCACTCTTCTTTGTGGCAGCCTTTGAGATATTGGAAAACTGCTATAATGTCACATTTAGTCCCTCTTTTCACTAGACTAGACATACCCAATTCCTGCAATCATTCTTCATATGTTTTAGCCTCCAGCCCCCTAATCATCTTTGTTGCTCTTCTCTGCACTCTTTCTAGAGTCTCAACATCTTTTTTATATTGTGGTGATCACAACTGGATGCAGTATTCTACTGTAAGTGTGATCTTACCAGGGTATTATAAAACAGAGCTAATATTTCAAGTGAAATGTTAGCCCACATTTGTGGTCTACTTTGTCAAATGTCTTACTGAAATCCAAATATGTTATGTCCATAGCATTTCGCTGGTGTACTAATTTAGTCACTTTGTCAAAGAATGAAATAAGATTTGTCTGACACGATCTGTTTTTGACAAACCTGTGTTGGCTTCTGGTTATAACTTTGCTTACTTCTAGGTGTTCACAGATCTGCTGCTTGATTATCTTTTCCAGGATCTTCCCAGGTATTGATGTCAGGCTGATAGGTCTGTAGTTTCCTGGATCTATTTTTTTCTCTTTCTTGAAGATGGGAACCATATCAGCTCCTTTCCAGTCCTCTGGTAGTTCCCCAGTGCTCCAGGATCTTTGAAAGAGATGGTGCAATGGTTCCAAGATCACATTTGCCAGCTCCTTCAGAACTCTGAGAAGTAAACTATCAGGTACTGGTGATTTGAACTCATCTAGAGTGGACAGATGTTCTCCTACCATTTTGTTGCCTATTTTAATTCAAATTCTTAGTCTGTCTTTTATGGTTCTGTCTTTGGTAGATTGGGCTATTTTTTTCTTATTGTGTGAAGACAGATGCAAAGAAATAATTAAGCAGCTCTCCCTGCTACTTGTCACTTCCTTGCCATCTTCTCACATTAGTGGACCAATTGTGTTTTTTTTTTACTTTTTCTTGGTTTTTTTATATGTTGCAAGCATTTATTATTGTTGTTGTTGTTGTTGTTGTTGTTGACATTTGTTGCAAGTCTTAGTTCATTCTGAGCCTTAGCTTTCCTGACTTCATCTTTGCATGTTCAGGCTATATGCTGGTATTCTGCCTTAGATATGTCTCCCTCTTTCCATTTTTATATTGGTTTTATACAGTCTACTAGAAGACCTACAAGGTCCCTTCCAAATCTATTGTTCTGTTATTCTGTATTCTGTTATAATGCAATTCCACCTCCTCTAACAAAATCTGTTTACAGTTTATATCCTTCCATCAGTACATTCCGGTTGTTTCATTCCACCAAGTTTCAGTAATGGCAACTATATCATACCTGCCCTCATGTACTAGTACCTCAAGAACTTCTTGTTTGTTCCCCAAGGTTTGACTTGGTGTATAGGCATCCAAGTCCTTTATGGCTGGCCCTGCCGATCACATGCTACATCACTGTTTTGCTGGCCTATGGCTGTCTCGGCTAGGATCTCTTCTAGGATTCTGCAATTCTTACCTTGACCACCCCCCAGAAGTTGCAGAAGTTGGTAATTGCATGGTGAGTCCTCTTCCAATTTGTGCTTCTGCAAGGCCCGCTGTATCACAGCTGTGGTCTTATCCTGGCTAGTGATCTATAAGGAGAATTCATCCACTTATAGGTAACCACAGGTGAGTCTGATAGACCCAGCTATGTGACAACACTGTGTAAAACACTGTTAAAAGATGAAACAACACATATAAATGGCATTATTATCGATCAAATAAAAAAGTGGTCTCTGAAGACATCATAGGCTCTGAGTTGCCCATTCTCTAGTGTATTACATTAAGTAGATCCATTATCCAAAAATGATGTCTGTTTTTGAAATACACTAATTCCACCTCCATACACATCACAGTCCTCAAATGTGATACTGGTAAATCTCCAGAAATGCTTTCTCCTAACTAGTGTCCTCCAGTTGCATAGGACAGCTCCCATAATTTCCAGCCTTTGCTCACAGCAGGTAGGAAGTGTAGAGGCTTGATATTAAGCACATTTGAAAAACATCACATTGGAAAAAATTGCTCTAGAGGATGGAAACAATCCAGTCTTATTCTCATCAAACAAAAAAAAATTCCAAATACTCAAAGTAAAACATCACAAAAGTTTTCAGAAGTATGTATAGATTCCTTAGTTCTCTTCTTTCCCATTCATATCTGTCTTGGTAATTTACAGACATGTAGACTTTAACTTCCAAAAATCCACAGGCAGCATGGCTATTGATGAGAATTTCAGGAATTGAATTCCACACACCAGAAAACTGCCAAGGTTGAGAAACCTTGCTCTAAATACTTTGGTTCATTTTTGTTCTAGATCATTTATTTTGTGATATTTATTCTTCACTTTCTCGGTTCACAGCTTCCATGTACAGAAACTGTAAATCTGGGGATTTCCTGATTTTCTTCATCGTTCTGGTGCAATCAGAGAACCCTCATCACTTTAATCATGTGCAATCTTTTGGCATGCTTTCCAGTCATGTCCTTATTAAACCTGCCCTAGATATTTCCTGCAATCCAGAACTTGTGGCTTCTCTTCCACAATACTGCCCTCTCTTGGTAACTTACCAGAATGCTGCGATAAAGGTTTCCATTTCCACAGATATTGTTCATATGGACACGGACAATGCGAGATTCTGTCTCTCCCTGTTTAGAGATGGAAGGTGGCACAGGTTGCTCACGCAGAGGGCAGGTTTTCAACTGAGTTACAGGTGGATCCTAAGCAGAGGAGAATGGCCAAAAATGAAATATTATGACTTTTAAAATGACATACTTCACCATTTTTGATGTGTCACAAGAGTTTTGTGTATGCAAATTGAAACCTATGATGTTGGGGGAACAAATGGTGTATTCTGAGAGCCTAACCAGAGATCCAAGTATCTAAAGTAAAACACATCCCCAGAATTTTGGGATGGGTTTCAGGAATTCCCCAGGTTTACAGTTTCTGTACATGGAAGCCGTGAACTGAGAAAGTGAAGAATAAATCTTGCAAAATAAGTTATCTAGAACAAAAATGAACCAAAGTATCTAGAACAAGGTTTCTTAAACTTGGCAATTTTCAGATGTGTGGACTTCAACTCCTGAAGTTCTCATTAACAGCCTGCTGCCTGTGGATTTCTGGGAGTTAAAATCTACATGCCTGTAAATTACCAAGATTAAGAAATGAATGGGAAAGAAGAGAGATAAGGAATCCATATACTGTATACCTCTGAATTAGGCAGTGAAAAATAATTTAAATCCATTCTTGGAATTAGAGAAATGATTGATCACACCATTTAGCAAAAATTTTAATTTGGTAGAAAAAAATGACCAGGAAGGTTTAAATGGCTTCCAAAGAGTATTTGTGAGCACAGTATTTCCCAGCACAGTATCAGATTGTCATCTATGTGATCTTTTGGGTAGAAACGTAACCTGTCTGTTCTATATAGAGGACAGTGGGAAATTACTCACCTATTATGGCAAACACCCATGTTGGTAAGTGAAGTAGGATATGGATACCCGTATTTTTCACACCATAAGACGCACTTTCCCCCCCCCAAAAGATGGGGGAAAATGTCTGTGCGTCTTATGGAGCGAATGCCACCTCCCACCGCACCGTGCCAGCTGACGCCAGCTGACGGGCGCAGGAGGTAGGTGCCGCCGCGGTCTCCCAGCCGCTTGCTTCTTCGTCTGGAGCAGTTGCAAGGGCTTGCTTGGTCGCCGGCGGCGGGGAGCGCGTCAGCGGCCCTTGGGGACCATGCAAGCCCTTGCAATTGCTGGGGCGGCGGCCGGCAGGGGCATCGCTTCCCGGGAAGCCGAGCAGGCCACATGTCTCCCCAGGCCGGGCCGGGCGGCAATCATGGCTGGGCTGGCGGCCGGCGGGGGCATCGCTCCCCGGGAAGCTGAGCAAGCCACATGTCTCCCCAGGCCGGGCCGGACAGCAGTCAGGGATGAAGCTTGCCTGGCTGCCGCAGGGCTCTCCGCCGCCCGGCCCCACCTCGGCCCCACCGGTGGCGCCTTCCTCGGCCACTTTTGGGGAGCTGCTGCCACCCTCGGTGCTGCAGGAGGAGACCTTGGGCTGTGAGGGCAGCGGGGCTGGCAGCGATCAGGACCCCCCCTTGTCCCCGCGGCAGCACTCCTCGTTGCCGGCGCAGCCGCCCATGGTGCACCCGGCCTAGGAGCCCTCCTCTTGCGGCGGCGAAGTGGCTGAGGATGCAGCAGGGGCGGTGGCCGGGCTGGGGGCAGGGACCCCGACGATGCTGCAGTGGCTGCCGGTGGAGCCACTACCGCCCATCTTGCTCCCCCTCCCCGGCCGTTCGGCTGAGGATGCGGCGAGGGCAGCGGCTCCCGTCCTGCTCCCCATGCCCGCCTGTTTGTCTGAGGAGGCGATGGGGATGGTGGCCGGGAGGCGCTGCCTCCCGTCCTGCTCCCCCTCCCCACCCGTTCGGCCGAGGTGGCGATGGGGACGGTGGCCGGGAGGCGCTGCCTCCCGTCCTGCTCCCCGTGCCCGCTCGTTCGGCCAAGGAGGCGATGGGGACGGCGGCCGGGAGGCGCTGCCTCCCGTCCTGCTCCCTGTGCCCGCTCGTTCGGCCAAGGAGGCGATGGGGACGGCAGCCGGGAGGCACTGCCTCCCGTCCTGCTCCCCGTGCCCGCTCGTTCGGCTGAGGAGGCGATGGGGACGCCATCCGGGAGGCGCTGCCTCCCGTCCTCCCCGTGCCCGCTCGTTCGGCCGAGGAGGTGATGGGGACGCCGGCCGGGAGGCGCTGCCTCCCGTCCTGCTCCCCCTCCCCTTCCCTGCCCATTCGGCGCCGTCTGCCTTTCATTCTCTCTCTCTCCTAACCTGGAGGGAGAGGGAGGGAGAGAAAGAGAGAAAGAGGAAAGGAAGAGAAAGAGAGGAAAGAGAGAAAGAGGAAAGAGAAAGAGAGAGGAAAGAGGGAAAGAGACAGAGAAAGAGAGAAAAAGAGAGGAAAGACGGAAAGAGAGAGGAAAGAAAGAGAAAGAGAAAGAAAGAAAGGGGAGAGGAAAGAGAGAAAAAGAGGAAAGAAGAGAGAGGAAAGAGAAAGAGAGAAAGGGAGAGGAAAGGGGGGAGAGGAAAGAGAGGAAAGAGAAGAGAAAGAGAGAGGAAAGAGAAAGGAAAGAGGAAAGAGAGAAAGAGGAAAGAGAAAGAGAGAGACAGAGAAAGAGAGGAAAGAGAGAGAGAAAGTTAGAGGAAAGAGGAAGAGAAAGAGAGAAAGAGAGAGGAAAGAGAGACAGGGACAGACAGAGACAGAGAAAGAAAGAGAGAGGAAAGAGAGAGAGAAAGTTAAAGGAAAGAGGAAGAAAGAGGAAAGAGAGAAAGAAACAGAAAGAGAAAGTTAGAGGAAAGAGAGAAAGGAAAGAGAAAAAGGAGAGGAAAGAAAGAGAGAAAAAGAGGAAAGAGAAAGAGAAAAAGAGAGGAAAGAGAAAGGAAAGAGGAAAGAGGGAAAGAGAAAGAGAGACAGAGAAAGAGAAAAAGAGGAAAGAGGGAAAGAGAGGAAAGAGAAAGATAAAGGGGGAGAGGAAAGAGAGAAAAAGAAGAACGAAAAAAGGAAAGAGAAAGAGAAGAGAAAGAGAGAGACAGAGAGACCCTTTTGACATCTAAAATGAAGAGAACTCTGCATACGGTATATCTTTTTACCTTTATTTTATATATACACACACAGACACAGACACACACAGACACACACAGACACACAGACACACACAGACACACACACACACACATATATATATTAAAGGTAAAAAAGGATATATGCAGTGTTATCTTCAGTTTAGATAGAATATTTTTTTCTTGTTTTCCTCGTCTAAAAACTATGTGCGTCTTATGGTCAGGTGCGTCTTATGGTGCGAAAAATACGGTAATACTTGGATACTTGCAAACCGGTGGTTGTCCTCAGTCTCAAACGATGCCACTTTTTGCAGAGGACAGCCAATCAACATGATTGGCAGCTGCCATTAATAATAAGTAAAGGGATGCAATCCTGAACAACCACGCCATTTTATTTGAACTGGGCTTGGGTAGAAAGGGGAGAGAGAAGATATGGATGAAGGTATGAATAGAGTATGTGTGTGCATATGCACACATAAACAGGCATGTAGATTGATTGTTGATCCTTCCTGGCAATCTACATAAGTTTCAAGGACAACATTGTCGCTTAGCCTTGTTCTAATGATATGAGTAATACTTTGAATTATAAATATAATTATAGCCTAGGTTACACAAACATCCACCTGCTTAATGAGGATAGCATAGATTTTGCTTCCATAGGATATACTCCATAAAAAGCTTATACTGTATCACATTAAACTTATTAGTCTTAAAGGAAATGTTTCATCTAAGGCAGTGGTGGCGAACCTATGGCACAGGTGCCAGAGGCGGCACTCGGAGCCCTCTCTGTGGGCACACGTACCGTTGCCCCACCCTCACCTCCCCCCGTGACCCCCTCCTCTCCAGCAGCCCCCCTGAAGGAGACTCGCCCTTAAGCGTGGCCCACCCGGAGCAGCACAGCCAAGGACATGGCAGCCAAGCAACGTAGACAAGACTCTGCCCTCACACCCCATCATGCACAGTTGATGCTGCGGGGCATGGGCAGAGGGCGTGACTGCCATAGCGCTGCTGGGCTGCCTGGGTGATCTGCGGCGGGCCCTGGAGGTGGTGAGTGACCCTGAGGGCAGGCGGGGCAGGGGATGGGGGGCGGGGCAGCGGGTGGAGCAGGGCAGGGCCAGTTTTTGGGCACTCGGTCTCTAAAAGGTTCGCCATCACTGATCTAAGGAGTGAACATGGCTATCCAGCACCCATCATATGATCATATATAAGACTTGGTTTCCTCCGATCTGTCAAGGTTGATGTTTTGGAAAGTAGTAAGCATGGGAGAGCAGGGAGGTAGGGAGAAGAGAGGCTTCTTGCTGAGGAACTAGATCAGTGGTGGCTAACCTATGGCACGCGTGCCAGAGGCAGCACTCAGAGCCCTCTCTATGGGCCCACGTGCCATGCCCCGGAGATGGCAACCGTCCCTCTTCAATCAGCCGCCCGCTAACTTGCCAAGGTCCCACATGGCCAGATCCATCCCAGCACCCATGCATTCACTGGCCTCTGTGTGCAGTGGCTGATGGTGTCAGGCAGCAGCCGCCCCGGCCCCTGCCTCACCTTGCCCTGTGACAATGGCACCCCCGCCCTGCCTCGCCTTGCCTCGCCTCACCCAGCAGGACGAGCCTCCTACCCACCGCTGCACCTGCCAGAGACCCCCTGGATCTTCCCAAACCCTGCCCAGCCCGCACAGGCATCCCTCCCCAGGAGCAACATCGAGGTGATCACGCCCACCTTGGCCACACCCACCCAGTCTGCCATGACCACCACAGCCACGCCCACCCAGTGGGCCACAACCACCTGGCAGCCGGCGATAAATAAGTGGGTTTTGGGTTGCAGTTTGGGCACTCGGTCTCTAAAAGGTTTGCCATCACTGAACTAGATGCTAAGTTAAAACATTCTACCAGGCTCCAAACCAAAGAAGTAACGGAGCAGAGGCAAAGAAGAAGTGAAGCTAAGGAGAAAACCAAGGAGGGGGCAATAGTTCATGCTAATAGCAAAAATAATGAATCAGGGATGAAATTGATTTAAAAAATAATATAAATTGAGATTTCCTATTTAAGTTACTTTTTAACATTGTTTTGTTATGTATATTTTATGTACAATCCTATTTCTGGTTTAATAAAGATTATTTAACATCTCAGTCTGTTTTATAATTTTGGGAGTTTACAAATGTAAAATGTGTTATGTACTTTTTTCAAAAACTGCTGCTCCTTCCCCACCCTGGTCCAGGTTTGCCCAGGACAAGCCAATGGAGCTACTCAGAAGACATCATGACTTGTGCATCTGCTTCCCTGGTTTAGAAGGTACATTGCTTGAAGGTGCCACACTAATTTGGCACCCTATCCCTCACCAGACACAAAGGAGGTTGCAACTTCTCACAATTAATTGTTCTATTCTAACGAACAGGTGATTTATTGCTAGTCTTTTTCTTGGGAGAGGAACTGCAGACTGTGAAATAAGTATTCAACACATGACTAAGGTCCTCCACTTAGGCAGGAAAATCCAAATGCGCCGGTAGAAAATAGCCAGTACCTGGTTCAACAGTAATGCCTGTGAAAGGGATCTAGGTGGACCACCACTTAAGTAAGAGCCAACAGTTTGCTGCAGTGCCAAAAGGGCCAATGCAATCCAGTGCTGTATCAGCAGAGGCATAGCATCAAGTGACAGTACAGCTTTACACTGCACTAGTGAGACCACAATTGGAATACTACACCCAGTTTTGGTCACCATGATACAAAAAAGATGCTGAGATCCTAGAAAGAGTGCAGAGATGAGCAACAAAGATAATAAGAGGTCTGGAGGCTAAATTTTATGATGAACGGTTAAGAAAACTAGCTATGTTTAACATAATGAAGATATGGCTTAATGAAGATATGATAGATCTCTTCAAGTACTTGAAGGGCTGATACAAAGAAGAGGGAGTCAACCTATTCTCCAAAGCTCCTGAGGGCAGAACAAAAAGCAATGGGTGGAAGCATGTCAAAGAGAGATCCAACCTAGAATGAAAGAGAAATTTCCTGACAGAACAATTAGTCAATGGAATAGCTTGCCTCTTGGAGTTATAAGTGCTCTATCATTGGAGATTTCCAAGAAAAGATTGGACATGCATTTGTCTGGGATGGAATAAGGATTCCTACCTTGGACACAGGATTAGACTAGAGTACCTCCAAAGTCCCTTTCAGCTCTATGATTCTATGATTTCTATGACTTGAAATTAAGTCTTTCTCAGTCCATAAATCTGTATACAATGCAATCCTATTGCCTGCAATAGATCCCAACCGTCTACAAATCAGCCGATGAAACAAGGAAAAGGGAGTCTTCCCCACTGACATTCCTTGGCTGTGTCACTGCAGATAATCTGCAACTGATCCCAGAAATGAAGTAATAGTTAATGACTTGATCCTGGATTTGGTGCAATCTGCATCAAATTTTCTAGAACACATTCCAGGTTTTAATATTGCTGAAAAGAAAGAAAATAGCCTCCTTATTCTAAGGCAGCTTCTTCCAATCTTGGAGCCTACAAATACAACCTCTAAATCTGAATCAGCATCCCTCCACACACACCCCTTTGGGAGTGATAGTAACTTATTTTCACACTTTTGGAAGCCATCAGCTTGAAAAAGGTTACCAATCCATATTAGTGGCTGAACGTTATCATTGTTTTCAAACAGAGAAGTAAAAATACAGAGATACAACATATACTGTAGTTTCTTTATTGTAATATCAACTTCAACAACTGGTGTTCACGTTCCTTTATGGAAAATACAGCACTTATTAGCAAGAATGACATCCATTTCCTTCTATTACTCTCTGGGCCAACTTCTTCATTTAATCTTGTTTGCTGTAGTCCAGGATCTATAGCCCAGATCTATGCCATGTTCTGCTATTCCTTGTAATTTTGTTTCAGACAATGGAGTCTTTGGGATAATAGCATCCAGAATGTCCTCCCAAGAAAAAAAATTAATACTTCCCTGCTTCTTGGTTTTAATTCATTCATTAAAACCAGGGGTTATGTTTGTTGTTGAAATTTTATTTCCTTGTGTTCTGTGGCAACAATATGATAACTCCAGGTTTTTAAATCCTGTTTTTGATAATACTTATGATGATAATTTTCCAAAGTAGCCTTGTTCGGGCTGTTCATAAAACCTCGCAAAATGGTTATCAACAAAAGGGTAAAATATAGCAATTTAAAAAGAGTGATCTTATAAAGCCAATTTAGCACTTGTATTGTTATGGTGATTGTGTTCCACCAATTGCGTAAGTGTCCATTTCTGTTTTGCAAGAATCCCAAGACTTGAAAGATAGGATAGAAATAAAAATAAACATGTCACCTTGACTCCAGGGGATACCCGTGTTGGGGAGCAAGGGACACTGGATCCATCTTCAGAGTTCAGGCTACTAGAGGAACTCAGTGGCATAGTTCCAGTCTTTTCAGATCCGGAAGGAGTTGCAGATGGTTCTGAGCCCAAGAGGAGTCTGCAAAGAAGGAGAGAAAGGGGTCCAGACAGAGAGTTAAGGGAAAGATGCAGTTTCACTTATTCCTCATCTCTCTCCACATTAGAATAAAAGCAAATGGATCCCAGCATATCCTCAGATCCATCTCATTGTTTAACCCTCCATAATACTGTGGTCTCACCATTTCAACTCAGGAGCACAAATCATCTATGTGTATCTAAGCAGCCCAGCACCATATATGGGCTTGAGTGGCTAGTATAGATCTGGGAGAGTAGAATGTGGATTTTGTACTTCAGAAGCTGCTCAGGTCAAAGTTATTCCTTGCCATGTAATTCATCACTGGGTTTAGGTCTTGGTCTCATCATTTGCTCTGAGTATCATTTTTCTAACTCTTAGGCCAACCCTGCATCCCCCTTTATAGAATGTGGTCCAGAAATAATTCCAATGATCATTTGGAAAGCTTTACCAGCTTGTAAATCCACTTACAGTGCCTCCTTATTCAAAGAGTCTAATCAAAATTAGTAAACTTCTTAACGTCTCTTCTCATGAATACAATACCTAAACTTCTAATGCTAGTACAGTTATACATTTAAAATACTTCAATCATTCTGCATAGTCATTATATTTCTGCAACAGCCCATTTCTTCTGAAAATTCCTGCTTAGGAAATTTAATTTAATTTAGAAGTACCACCTCTTCCAAATTGTGCTTAATACTTAGAAAAATTTAACTTGCAGATAGCTGAGTTCCAGGACTTCTCATATTATACTAGGGAAAGTGGGTTATAATTTTACTGTGAATAGGAATTGTATGACCTGGAAAGCCCAGACCCCTTGCAAATCTCCAGAGGCCTTGGTTGCCTGGATCTGATGGTACAGTATATGAAGAGGGTGACATTGTGCCCCACATTTACAGCATCAGCCTTAGGTCCCTCTGAATAGCCTAGTACCCTATTTTTTAATAATGGCCAGCCAGATGCTTCAGAAAACCACACAAATAAAGCACAAAGTAAACAGTTTAATTTGTTGGTTTATAATTCCACTGTGGTTTAATCTGTCCACACTCAAATTAACCCAGTTTCGGTTGCCCTTCCCCTCAGCATAAAAACAGACTGTAGGAACCAAAAAAACTCCCACAGGGTAGATGGGGTGCTTGTCTGGAGCCTAGAGGGAAGGATCTGGCAGGCGAAAGGGCAGAGGATAGAAAGGAACAAGAACATCTCCTCTCACCAGTTACTGGGATGACTTACGAGCTGAAGCGTTTGGTCAGACTACGATGCAGCTTTGGCGAGCTGGGACAGGAGTCAGCTGGTGGTTCTATCATACAAGAAATGCAGTAGCTGGAGGAGAACAGTGAAGACAGATTCTATAGCTACATCTTCTCAACTATTCACTGAGGCTACACATGGCACTTTGGGGTTTATGCCCTGAGCTCTTAGCCCCCATAATTTTCCTTACTGCTTGTTTACTCATCAATTCTCAGGAATCTTTCTGATTCTCTGCCCTGCCCCATGCGCTCGCTGGGTTCTTCATCCCTACTCAGTACTATTCACCCATCCTTTAGCTGGCAAATACCAGTGTAATATTTACCTCCCATTGCTAACCCCATCTTGCCTCTTTTGAGTCTATTCTGAGTCATTGCCAAAGGGTATTGTCCTGATTTAGGACAGAGCCTTTTATTTGGGTAAGATGCCTTTACTGTCTTTGCTGCTCTGTCCCCTTTCAGCATGTTACCATTCCAAGGGGGAACTTCTACCATCAGTTCACTGCAGCAGCAATTGAATTAGTCTGTCTCCAAGACTCTACCTGGGCTTCTCTAAGCTGGTTTCACACCATATTTGGCATGTTTCAAGTTACAGTAAAACAATATGGAATACAGAGACATGGAAAGATAACAAGGCCAACAGCCTCCTTTTCTCCTTTCTCTTGCCTTGATTGTGCAATGATCTATGTCTTGAAAAGCAGGAGAGTTACATCTAACTGGTGGTGGACAACCACTCTCTTACTTTGGTAGCAGGGAAGGAGAGGAATGACTGAACTTTACAAATATAATGAATCTGTGAAACTAGCAACAAAAGAATCATTTCAACATCCCTCATTATTTTCTGAACACTGCAATGACAAAACAAAATAGGATTGCTGCCTGTTAATGGAAATATCACCATTAATGCCATTTCACAATACTAGTAAAGTGTTAATAGCATAAATATATCTCTTCTTCCCCAAATAAAATAGTCTGACTTTTTCTCTTCTGCTTTTCTTGGCAATGTACAGTCACTTTGCAGAGTAAGATGGGCAGCATATAAGATATAGATAGATAGATAGATAGATAGATAGATAGATAGATAGATAGATAGATAGATAGATAGATAGATAGATAGATAGATAGATAGATAGATAGATAGATAGATAGACAGATAGACTGCACTTGGATAGGGACTAATTCAGTAAAGATTCAATAATAGTACATTTGAAGAAAACAATAATTTAGATGAATTTTTTTCAGCAGGGAAAGGGCACACACAGCACAGAATCAAGCTGCTTCTCTCTGCATTGTCTTTGATAAAGGCTCTGCAAACTAATTTTTTTCTGATGTAAAAAGTGCTAAGTTGTTTTGAGCACACTTTAAATGTGCAATTATTGCTGCATTTAAAAATCTGTAACCAGGGGTGCAACCTGAGTGGTACAAGTATTAGGAATGTCTAATGCTTTCGCCCACCAAACAATTTTCTGTCCATCCCCAGCAGAAAACTTTAATCCCTCTTCCCACCTCTGGTCTTCAGAAAGCTGCTGCTGGTGGTGGAAGGCCAAGTGGAAGGATGGATTCAGGCAAAGGTTGTATCCCTGACAGGACTGTTGCAGATGACAGATAGAGAAGAGGATTGCTGCTTCCTGGAGAAGAGGAGTACATATGACAGAGTCACACTGTTGCTGTGGTTGCACCCATGTCCATTCTCTTGGTGGCCAGGATTATGCCTCCCCATCCCAGAGCTAAGCACAAAACTAGGAAATGTTAGCTCCTACTCTTATCCCTCCACTTCTTCTACCTTTGATTTACCTTGCGCCTCTTCTCAAAGTTAATGAGCTGGCCCTGTGGAATTGGAAAAAGAAAATAAAATAGAGACAATGGAGACAGAACTTAAGCAGCAGCTAGTTGAACCAGCAACATTTTGTGTGCAAAATTTCAGGCTCAATCATCCCCCGTTTGTTTGTTTTTTTTAGCTAAAAGGAATTCAAATAGCAGACTGAGAATTTAGACAACTGCGGTCCACCAGAAAAGTAAGAAACAATCTGGTGATATTTTAAAGAGTAAACAAGGTATTGGGACACATGATAAACTGGACAACACTTCATCTGATACAAGACAAAAACAGTCCCTTGGCAACTACTGACAAGTTCTCCCCTTCCCAGCTCATATACAAGCATGGATGGCCAGAAAATACTACATCCTCAATGAGCACAGTCCTATAGAGGTGAACTGGCAGGCAAGTCCATAATGGAACCAGTATTCCATCAGATACTCAGTTTCTAAATTGAATGGGGCCTTGTATTTTGTAACAGATTGCTTGAATTTGAATCAGTAATGGACTGGCATCCATCTTGGTACAGTGTCTTCAGAACAGTGTTGATTGTTTATGGAAGGTAGGTTTCCTTCTTCAGTAATTGTGGCATTTGGTGCAAGCTGCAGATTCCTTGCCAGCCTCCAGAGTGATCCCACATACATCACATTGCAACAGTCCAAAATTACGTGCTAATCATTCTTCGATGTAAGAGACATCCCTTCTCCTAATGATGTTTGGTAAAAATAAAGCCATTCACATACATTCAATATTTCAAACCAGATGGGGTTAAATAAATAAGTTAATTTGAAATGCCCACTCAAGTGTCATGGGAGCAATTGTTTGCCCTTTCACCAGATGATCACCACATTCTCCTTCCCCCTCTTTCAGTCCTCTTTCAAAGATGCTCACCTCCACAAAATCTGGCAGTGCTGTATCCAGCATGATCAGGTCAGTTAAAAAGGTGCCAAGGTATGGGATGGTAGGAGTCTGCAACAAAAACCCTGGATTCATTAGGTGGGTATGCCATAACACTAGCAATTCCAAGCAAGCAAAGAGGATGATGTAATTCTCTCTTGTATCCTTGTGGGAACCCACCCACCTAACATACCCAAGAATTGCAAAAGAGGTGCATTTGTGTAAATCTAAGACCATGATATGAAAGCAAAATTGCAAAAAGTTTCTATGAATACTGGCAAATGCAAGCATTAAGCAAATCTGGCTGGATCCAATCAAGAGGTTATTACCATTTGCTCCAGTTGAAATCTCACCTGCAGAGAAGTCCTGACAGGTATTTGATGATTTCTCCCTCCATCACAAGGTCCCTGAGTATCTCCTTCCTACAGAAGAGCCCCAGAGGGCAAACTGATGTTCAAATGGTATAAAATTAAAATGAACCAATTGACCCTCTTAAACTATATCCAGAATCAGTCAGTGAAAAATGTCAGTATTTTCCCTCACTACTTCCACAAGAGATGGAAAACCATTTGGAAAACCACCCTTGTGCATCACATTCTTTTTCCTTCTTCTCAGGAGATATTCCCCCTACCTGCAGCAAGATTTCTCGGCAGTTCAAGTGATTGTGGTCTTCAGAGAAGATCTGTGAGAGCTTTCGAAAGGAGCTCCTGGTTTCTCTGTGGGATAAAATGCAGAACTGCCTGAGATGGGGTCTGTCTAATGAGCTTTCTTTCTTGTCAATCTGCTCTCCAGATCCCAGGGATCTGCCATGTTGTGGCCTTTTGCCAAAGGGAAGGCAGCTTGGTATATTTGACCAGCCCCTTTGCCCTCTCTTATCTCATTCCTTTACAAAGACTTACTGTCAGGTCCCCATAGATCCCTATCAGGACACTACCATTCTGTTGGGAAGGGGGGGCCTTGGGGCTTTTCTACAATGTACCCATTTTGATTTGTTTCTCCTTTGCTTTGATGTATCTTCCTGGGAATTGGGAAGGAGGGATGAGCCCCCGGGCCATCTGGTTTGCCTCATTGGGGTGCTTGAGAATGACTTATCACCTTCTCAGCTCAGAGTTCTCACAACACATTCTCACCTTCAGATTGGCTTTTCATGGACTGGGCATTTGGGAGGGGTTTTGAACAGTGGGCTTTAACGTAATGTTTTCCCATGGGAACTTTAGATCCTGCCTGCTTTCTCTGCAATCACTGTCTCCCAATAAAAGAGCCTTTTGAAATGTTGCCTGTTTCAAGAATTCGCCTTTCTTGAGGGAATAGCTGAGGCGAGACCTTACACTTACCTGTTGACTGCAGCCCAGGTGCGCTTTAGTCGGTAAATAGAGTTGGATTGGAGAGCAGAGAGGATGGCGTACAGTGAGGAGAAATTCCTTAAGGCCCAGCATCGCTGGAAGTTTGGTGTTGGGAAGGAAAAGATAAATAGTTCAGCAAGGAGTGAAAGATTATAGATGTGTGAACAAAAATTGCAAAAGAAAGAGACAAAGACGGAGAGAGGCACAATCAGTTAAATAAGGATATAATTTTTATTGGTTTAATAAAATTAATCTAACATTAAAGAGATACTGAATTTAAAATGAAAATATGTGTTTTTAATATTTAATTTTAATATTTACAGTCGTGTAAATTGGAGGTTATCTCAGTTTTTTAACAATCTAAGAATGCAACCCAAGAATGCAGAGTACCTCTCTGAGGGAGATAGGTGGTTAAGAAATGTGAAATATAAACATATAAATGATAATAAATAAGTTCTGAAAATGTACACCTCAATTTAAATGGAAATATTTCTTTAAATATTACTATTGGATATTTAAATATGTTGATTTACCTAATTTTAAAGCAATTTATTAAAATAGTTTTCATGTTCAACACATTCATTCATACTGTGTTTCCTCAAAAATAAGACCCAGTCTTATATTTGTTTTGCCTCCAAAAGAGGCATTAAATCTTATTTTTGGGTGATGTTTTATATTTTTCCAGGAGCTGCCCCATGTACCCCGCACCCCGCTTATCATGCTGCAGGGCTCCTGCTGCTGCTGCTGCCACTGCAAGGTGTCCTACTTCTGTTGCTGCTGCCACGAGGCGCATCCTGCTGCTGTGAACTGTGTCCTGCCATCATTGCTTCTGCCACCGTGAGGCACACCCTGATGGTGTTGCTGCCACCGCGAGGTGTGTCCTGTTGTTGTTGGTGCCACTGCCATGAGGCATGTCTCACCACCGTTCTGCTGCTGTCGCGAGGAATGTCCTACCGCCATTGCCGCCACTGGCACGTGCATCCTGAAGTGCATCTCATGGCAACGGTGGGATGCACCTCACGGCAGTGGCAACGTGCCTTGCGGCGGCAACGGCAACAGGACATGCCTCGCGGCTGCCTCTCAGCAACAATGGCAGCAGGACACACCTTGCAATGGCGGCAATGGTGGCAGGATGCGCTTCGCGGTGGCAGCAAGAAAAACAGTACGCACCTCGTGACAGTGCAATGCACCTCACAGTGGTAGCAACAGGATGAGCCTTGTAATATCAATAGGACCTGCCTCGCGCCAGCAGCAATAACAGCAGGATGCACCTTATAGCAGCAATGCAACGGTGGTGTGATGCACCTTGTGTTGGCAGCAGCAGCAGCATCTCTGTGGCATGGTAAGTGGGTGAGGGGCGCATGAGGCACCTACCCCTCCCACCGCTTCGCCTCACCTTGTGTCTTAGCAAATAAGTAGGGCTTATTTTTGGGGTAGGGCTTATATAAGGCCCAGCGCAAAAAATCAAGCTAGGGATTTTTTTCATGTTCAACACATTCAAGGTTGTTTTTTTAATTGAAGCAATCTGCACTTTTGGCGCTCAGAATAGTGAAGCCTGTCAGATTTGCCATTTTCAGCTTTTCTCTGCTGGCAACCTGCCATAAAACGGAAGAGAGAGAAAAGGACTTTGGAGTAATAAAGTTCGGAATGGGAGTGAGAAGACAAATGATGGGAAAGGGAAACACATTGACAAGAACCAGAGTGCCAAACCGGAATAAAGCAGCCGCCATGGATACGGAATGGCCTGGGAACGGAATGCGAAACTACATTGAGAGGCACCAAACATTCAAGCAGTTCCCAAAACATCTAAATGGCATACTATTGAACACTGATGGACTGGTCAAGGCAGGAGGGCCAGGGAAAGAGGGGAAAGTGTAGCTTTATTTTTGCTGCAACTACTTAACTTTAGTAAAAGAACCTATCACTTTAAATAAATGAAGTTGAGAGTCTTTCTTTCCTAAAGATCCAAGTTGGGGCAGGCCTGACATTAAACTGCCCATCATTAACCTATTGAAAACCAAAGGGGAAGGGAGACCTAAATCCAACCAACTCCTAAAGTGGACAATGGAATGCCAAGCGGCCGTACAAAAAGCTCAAAACTCTTATTTGCAGCAGAACTCATACTAAAGTACCCGGGCCTGAACCCCTCCCCCTTTGTCATCCAGGTGGATACTAGTGATGTAGTAGTGGGTACTGTACTGCTGCAGAAAAATGACCAAGGGATCCTGCAGCCATGACCTTACACTTCCAAGAAACTAACCGAGACAGAATGCAGATGGGCCTATCTTCATTACTCAATCACTGATTGAGAAGGAACAGCATGATAATTAGCATAATTAGAATGAGCATGATAATTAAAACCAACTATTAATTATTGTGACCTAGGAACAGGTTGACGTCAGATTTGTCTAAATATGATAAAGTTGGATTCTGCCAATGACTGTCCAAGAGAGATCCCACTCGTGTCATGTTCATTGCCATGCCTAGTCTGACCTTTCCTTGTATATATACCTACAGAACATAATATAAGATAGTTCAACACTACAGTGACCTAAAGTCCCCTACGGTACTATAAAGTTGCTTGTTGTGCCTAATTAAAGGCAGCTAAGGAACCCTACCAGATTTTATGGAGTTTAAAAGAGGCATTTATTTTGACAATCAGCTGACCAATGCTGGGGCCACAGGGTACCTTCCTTTTTCAACCTCTGCCCTTTTCTCTCCAGCCACACCAACAATTGGCCAGTGTAGCTTCCCACTCAATGTTCTTGCTCCTCTTGCCTGCCTTGCAATTGTCCATCTGCATTCTGTGTCCATCAAGCATGCTTAATTCTCCCGCTTGCAGTATTCCATCCTATTTTTTTTATTCATCCAGAAAACTCAGGATCCCTTTACTTTGGGGAACAGAAATGTACAGTCTCAGCGCATACAATAACTGAGAAGAATTTACCTCATGCAGAAAAATAACAAGAAAACCCTTTCAGGGATGTCAATTGAAAAAGGTTGCAAGAGGCATTAGTGCTAAACATTGTCAAGAAATATTGTCACAAATGAGGAATGCACCTGGGCAGTCACTACCTCTCTGGCTCACAGTTTCCCAAGAGATGAACTACGCAACCCCTAACATCATGCTCAGCCCTGCTTTGTTTTCCCATTGCCACCATTCTGACCCTCTTCCAGACTTACTCCAGCAATTTGGATCCATTTCTCCAGCAGGTTTGCACGCTGGGGAATGTGCATGGCCAGATCCCCTAGCACAGATGTGATGACACAGCTGGTGACTGCATTAAACTGGATCACAGTAGCACGGACACTGGGAGCCATGTGCTGATTCTTCTTTTTGTCTCGTTGGGACCAAATGCAGCCAAGGCAATGGAAGGGTAGCACTGCTCTAAAGAGGTTCTGGAGAAAGGGAAGGGGAAAAAAGGAATTCAGCACCATTTGAGGGCCATTTAGTGCATTAAGAGATTTCAGAGCAGGTTTTCAAGATCCAAGGCCTCAAATAGACATATTGCAAAGCAAAGAACCATCCCAAATCCACCCCTGCAGCAGCCACATCCCATCCATTTTATGGTCCTTAGTACCCACTCTTTCCAACATAAAATGTAGCTCATGGCCATCAAAAGGTTTGCCTACTAGGACTGTAAAAAGTGACGCTGATTCTCTTTTCTGTCATCAAGCCAATTTCAAAAGGGTTTCAGAACTACCCTGTTCATCATAGCCCTAATCTGTTTTCTTTTCCAAATTATTTTCAGTTACTGGCCCCAACAGCTCTTACAGCAGACATGTCAAACACAAGGCCCGGGGGCCGGATGCGGCCCGCGACATGGTTTCATGTGGCCCACGAAGCCATCCTGGAAACAGTGATGGAATGGCCCCCACTGCCTTGGGCCCGGCCCAGGCTGCCCAGGAGCCAATGTACAATTTTGTGGTGACCATCTATGCTGAAACGCATTCTGTCTTAGCTCCACAAGGCCATCTGGAAACAGCAAGGAACTGGCCTCTGCCGCGTTGGCCCTGCCCCCTGGGCGCGCGCTGGGGAGGTGTCACCCTTTGGGAGGAATGAAGAAATGCACCATCGCCTGGAAGTGGCCAGCAAATGGCCCTTGTCTACTTCACATATCCGGCTTGATGGGCTCTGGGGGAGGGGTTTCAGCAGGCTCTTCCAGTGGACCATGCTTTGGCGCTTGCCCTAGTCCTACCCCCTTCTGCCAGAGACCCTCAGATCTGTCCCACTCCTGCCCAGGCCCCCACAGGCACCTTTGACGTGAACGATGTAAAGCTGGCCATGCCCACCCAGTAGGCCACGCCCACCCTGGCCATACCTACCCGGCCCCCCGAGGACAACCGCAATGCTGATGCGGCCCTCAATGAAATTGAGTCTGACACCCCTGTCTTACAGCATCCATCAGTGTCAGCTGTTCGGCCACTTCATCCACAGAGAAGGACATCAGTGCTGATATCTCTTCACAGTCATCTGTCCCAGCTGCCTCTGTGATCACCTGTGATGGTCCCATCCCTGGGGAGTTGTCTCCTATAGGAAAATAATGTGATCTATAGAAAAAAGAGGATTCAAGCAATGGCTGTAAGGAAGCCATTGTACCAGACAAAAATGCCGGCATCAAAAACAATCATACCATACTAGCTTTTAATATTTGCTTCCTCAGGAACTTCTGAGCTTCAGAGAGATGATGTGCCAATTGTGGCTTGTTTCAGGATTATGCTATAAACAGCCTTTTAAAGTTTCTTTGGATCATGCACCATTAATTATTTAATTAATTAATTAATTAATTAATATGCCCTCTGTTACATTAACCAAAGTAACTCTAAGCAGCTTACAGTTGTATACAAACATAAATATAAAAGCATTAAAATTAACAACAATTAAGTAAAGGCTAAAAACCAAGAGCACAGATGGAATGGGGTTTGTCTCTCACTCAACCAACTACCTCCAGCACAATGTGCCCCCATCAGGACCCCAAGCCAACTGGCAGAGCCAGGTTTTAAGGGCCCTCCGGAAGGTCAGAAGGGTGGAGGTTGATCTTAGCTCTGGTGGCAAATTGTTCCAGAGAGCAGGAGCCATAGCAGAGAAGGCTTTTCTCCTGGACCCCACTAGCTGAAGTTTTTGAGCCAGCAGAGTCTGCAAAAGGCCTCTTCTGCTGGAGCAACTGGAGAGGGCCAATCCCATTGTGGTGAGATGGCAACTCAGACAATCTGGTCCCATGCCATGAAGGGATTTAAAGGTGATAACTAACACCTTGAATTGGATTCAGAAGCAAACCAGCAACTAATGCCGCTTGTGTAACAATGGTGTTTCCACCCTAGAGGCCTCCAGAACTGTCTGCACCATTGCATGTATCATTTGTAGCCTCTGAAAACTCTTCAAGAGTTGCCCCATGTAGAGCACATTATAGAAATCCAATGGAGAGATGACTAGGGCATCTCTAGACCACTACATCCCTCATGTTAATCTATGGGGATCAAAACCTCCACTAGGAATTGAATTCATTTGCATGACTTCATAGCAGTGCATTAACTTTAGGAGTATCCAAGTTCTGGTACTCACCAGGAACAAGAAGGAATATATAGAATCTATTCAAACAGCCGAATATACTATCTACCATCCTTTAACCTCTCAGAATAGACTGGAGATAGATTGCCTGCCCTCGTGTATGAGTTTTACATGACTTCCATATAATGTAACACTGAGAATTTTAGGGACACTATACGGTATACTATTCTAGTAAATTTAATGCCTGAAATGACTGCTTAATTTCTTTGTACCCCTGGACTGATTCCTGGGAGTTCTGTACTGACAGGTTTTATTTTCTGTAACAGAACAGAATGCAGCACATTTCTCTGCTCTTCATTCCTTAGAGTACATAAATTACATAAAATCTAAGAATAATCCAGCATGAGCAGATAATCAGCAGATTCCTGCCTCCTGTTAAAATAGCAGGTACAGCTACAGTATGTCTGCGAGGGCCTTTGTATAACTTATTCTTATGTGCCAATTGCTGTAAGTAGCGTCAGGGAGCGCTACTTACAGTTATCTCTTATCTGGACTATGCAACACACTTTATAGAGGTTGCCACTGAAGTGTCTTGAAATGACTTCTGCCTTGGGTAGGGGGTTGCACTAGAAATCTTCCAAGGTCTCTTTCAACCTATGATTCTGTGTCCAGGGAATTTACATCTGGTCCAGAAGAATCAGGATAGTTACAGGTGCATTTTGGTAAGTCCAGATATAACAACTACGGTATGAGCCACACTGGTTATCAGTGGGCTTCTAGGTGTAATTCTAAGGTACTGGGGGTTACCTTACATGGCACAGGGCCTGGATAGTTGTTGAATCTTCTGTTCAACCTACAATATGTGACAGGGTTGGCATGCATCAGGTCCCATCAAGTAAGCAGTATCACTTAATGGAAGCCAGAAGGCATGTCTTCTCTGTCACTGCACCTGTTCCATGGAAGAGCATCCATCTAAAATTTGGCTGGTGTTAACCCTGCTGGCCTTTAAAGCCTTGAAGATTTGGATCACTCCCCAGACCATGGCTATATAGATATTATGTGTGTAGTTCTCAGTTCTCAGTACAATGTATTTTATTTTGTTTTATTATTTTAACATTTTCTTTTGTATATGATATTTTCAACTCAGAGCCACTTGGCAAGTGGGTGGCTATATAAATTGAATAAATACATATTGAAAGTTTACAAATTCCAGAGGGGACATTATCCTGGAATTAACAAGTTCAGTGGAGATTTGCTCCTGTTCCTACCATTGCTCCTGTTCCTGCCATTTTCTTCATCCTGGGATCAGAATGGTCTTAAGAGAGCAGAACAGAGGATACTATTTCCATTGCATATCCAAATAAACCAAGAGGACTAGCTAGATTCAGAATTAAAGAACTTTTATCTCATTGCCTAAAGCTGCCTTCACCAGCCCAGTACAATTCCTATCATCTGTAATTAAGCTGGTGTGAATGCCCTTTTGCTTCTGTAAAGAAAAAGGGTTGCATTTTGAAATTTCCTTTGTGGAAATAGCAAGCCTGCCTACACTTTATTGTTAAGGCCCCCATGCTTAATCACAGATGTGGGAAACTCCAGGGTCTGTTGAAATATAGTTCTCAGTAGCCCCAGCCAACATAGTAACAGCCTTTTCCTGATGTTTTAGTCTGCTACATATAGATAGCCTTTTACAAAAAAGGAACATTCAAAAAAATAGGCCAAACTCCTTCTCACTTGCAGTAGAAAGAGGTACTTCAAAATTTTTACTACCTCATTCTGTGTCCTCCAGAGGTGTTAATTTACCAGCTCTTCTACCAGCAGGGAACTACAAGTTAAGGCTCTTATTCTTACCAGCACATCACTGGATGATGGGCTGAGATAATGGGAATTTTAGCCTCAGCACCTGAGAAGCACCAGTTTAGAAAAGGCTGTTGTAGAAATGATAGCAATTTCAAAAGAGGCATAAGTGTGAGTTGCATGATGTCCTGGGTTGATAAACAGAAGGGCAAATAGATGATTTTGGCTCAGACTAACCTGGTGCCTGTACCCACCTGGGATTACACATGTGAGAAGGCAGACATCATTCATATTCTGTTCCTTTGAGCTGAGAGACTTTTGCAAAATCTTTGCAAACATATTGATTTGAGTGCACAGGCTATAATTTGATCCATTTTAAATAACAAGTTGCATATGTAGTACTAACACGTGTATTTATTTATTTGAACCACAGATTTTGTTGCTTCTGTTCCTAAACTGTTATCATTGGATGATAGTACCTGTTAGAAACAAAAGGGCTATTGCCAAAAAAGCAGTGCAGCAACCCATTGCTTACATAGATTTCTGTGTGGGCAGGCAAGCATACCCAGAGCATAGCTGGCACCTGTCTCCTTCAGTGCAGTTCATTCATCCTTAAATTTGAATTAATTGCAAGATAGCCAGTGAGGAACTGGGTTTGGGCTTCAGGGAGCTGGATCAAGCTGGATGTGATATGAGAACAACACCCCACATGAGAACAATACCTCCAGTAGCATATTGTTGGGAGCAGAAGTCAGAACGGATGAACCCAGACTAGAAACTCTGATAAGATAGGCCATGCTTGGCAATTTTGGTCCTAAATTATTCTTACCATCTACCTCCTTTTCTTTGTGGCCTTGTAGCAATCCCTTTGCCAAAGCACACACTGGGGAGTTAGGAGCAGATTGATGGAGAAAAGACAAAATTTTGTGCAGATTAGGATACTCTGGAGGTTCCCAGAAATCCTCAGGGTGATGCTGCAGCCACTGGTCCAACACATGGAGTACTGCCCTGCAATCAGAAAAGAAATGCGATCAGCTCCTGACCCACACTCACTGCAAGCCATGGGGCTACTCTTGTTCCATATAAATCACTCCTGGCCTTCCACTGTCCCTACTTTACTCTAACCACCTCACTCAATAAAGTTGCCTCTCCCATATCAAGGTTCACATTAATCTGGTACCTAGTTCTCAACTTTCACAAATGGGACCAGAATTTCCATTGCTAAGCAAGGCAGTTGTTAAGTGAGTTGAACTCAATTTTACAACATTTTTGTCATGGTTGTTAAGCAAATCACTTCAATTGTCAAGTGAATCATGTGCTTGTTAAGCAAACCCAACTTCCCCAGTTGACTTTGCTTGTCAAAAACTGACTCTGAAGGTCAGAAATGGTGATCACATACCAATTGCCAAGCACCCAAATTTTGATCTTGGGGATTGTGAGGATGCTGCAACTATTGTAAGTGTGAATATAGATTTTAAGTCTATTCTTCAATGGTGCTGTAACTTCAAAGGCTTGCTAAACAAATGCTGGTAAGTCGAGGATTCTCTGCAATCTTTTTCTTGCATACCTCCTCTTATAAGAACCTCCCCTTTTTTCCAAAGACATGAAAGGAGATTTTTTTAAATAATAACATTTCCTCTGCTTCTGTTCCTCGTCATGGAAATAGGATTATATTTCCCTTTTCTACTCAGCCATATTGTTAAAAGCAGAACATTCTTTTTTTAAAAAAAATACTGTAGATCTTCCTTTTGCAGTGGCAGGGGTTTTATCACTTATTCCCCTCTTGAACATCATAATTCAGACTTAGAGCAGATAGAACTAGTGGCTCAGGACTAGTTTTTGATACAATAAATCATTTGAAACTCTCAGATTGACCACTAGGTGGAATTATTTGTATGGGTCCACAAAATGTACTAC